GTACCCACATGTAGATCCTACATACAGTTCTAGTACCCACATATAGATCCTACATACAGTTCTAGTACCCACATGTAGATCCTACATACAGTTCTAGTACCCACATATAGATCCTACATACAGTTCTAGTACCCACATGTAGATCCTACATACAGTTCTAGTACCCACATGTAGATCCTACATACAGTTCTAGTACCCACATATAGATCCTACATACAGTTCTAGTACCCACATATAAATCCTACATACAGTTCTCGTACCCACATATAAATCCTACATACAGTTCTAGTACCCACATATAGATCCTACATACAGTTCTAGTACCCACATACAGATCCTACATACAGTTCTAGTACCCACATATAGATCCTACATACAGTTCTAGTACCCACATGTAGATCCTACATACAGTTCTAGTACCCACATATAGATCCTACATACAGTTCTAGTACCCACATGTAGATCCTACATACAGTTCTAGTACCCACATATAAATCCTACATACAGTTCTCGTACCCACATATAAATCCTACATACAGTTCTAGTACCCACATATAGATCCTACATACAGTTCTAGTACCCACATATAGATCCTACATACAGTTCTAGTACCCACATATAAATCCTACATACAGTTCTAGTACCCACATAAGATCCCTACATACAGTTCTAGTACCCACATATAGATCCTACATACAGTTCTAGTACCCACATATAGATCCTACATACAGTTCTAGTACCCACATATAGATCCTACATACAGTTCTAGTACCCACATTATAAATCCTACAATACAGTTCTAGTACCACATATAGATCCTACATACAGTTCTAGTACCCACATATAGATCCTACATACAGTTCTAGTACCCCACATACAGATCCTACATACAGTTCTAGTACCCACATACAGATCCCATATACAGTTCTAGTACCCACATATAAATCCTACATACAGTTCTAGTACCCACATATAAATCCTACATACAGTTCTAGTACCCATAATTTTAGTACCCACATGAGTTCTATTACCCACCAGTCCTTGTACTCGCATTGTTCTAGAACTCACATGTTCTAATCGTATACAGTTCAAATGCCCACATAAAGAACTAGTACCTACATACAGTTCTACCCAAAGTTCTAGTACCCATAAATTCTAGTACCTACATACAGTTCTCCATAGTTCATACCTACATACAGTTCTACCCATAGTTCTAGTACCTACATACAGTTCTACCCATAGTTCTAGTACCTACATACAGTTCTACCCATAGTTCTAGTACCTACATACAGTTCTACCCATAGTTCTAGTACCTACATACAGTTCTACCCATAGTTCTAGTACCTACATACAGTTCTACCCATAGTTCTAGTACCTCATACATACAGTTCTATACCATATTCTAGTACCTTTTCTACATACAGTTCTATCCATAGTTCTAGTACCTACATACAGTTCTACCCATAGTTCTAGTACCTACATACAGTTCTATCCATAGTTCTAGTACCTACATACAGTTCTATCCATAGTTTTAGTACCTACATACAGTTCTACCCATAGTTCTAGTACCTACATACAGTTCTACCCATAGTTCTAGTACCTACATACAGTTCTACCCATAGTTCTAGTACCTACATACAGTTCTACCCATAGTTTCTAGTACCTACATACAGTTCTAACCCATAGTTCTAGTACCTACATAAGTTCTACCCATAATTCTAGTACCTACATACAGTTCTACCATAGTTCTAGTACCTACATACAGTTCTACCCATAGTTCTAGTACCTACATACAGTTCTACCCATAGTTCTAGTACCTACATACAGCTCTACCCATAGTTCTAGTACCTACATACAGTTCTACCCATAGTTCTAGTACCTACATACAGCTCTACCCATAGTTCTAGTACCTACATACAGTTCTACCCATAGTTCTAGTACCTACATACAGTTCTATCCATAGTTCTAGTACCTACATACAGTTCTACCCATAGTTCTAGTACCTACATACAGTTCTACCCATAGTTCTAGTACCTACATACAGTTCTATCCCATAGTTCTAGTACCTACATACAGCTCTACCCATAGTTCTAGTACCTACATACAGTTCTACGCATAGTTCTAGTACCTACATATAGTTCCTAATACCCACAAAGAGTTTTAGAACCTGCACAGTTCTAGTAGCCACCATAGTTTCTAGTACTTCAGTAAAGTTTCTAGTACCACCATAGTTCTAGTATCTACATACAGTTCTAGAATCCATAGTTCTATCCACTACATACAGTTCTATCAATAGTTCTAGTACCGGCATACAGTTCCAGTACCCACACAGCTCTAGTAACCACAGTTCTAGTACCCATGTATAGTTCCAGTACCCACACAGCTCTAGTAACCACAGTTCTAGTACCCATGTATAGTTCCAGTACCCACACAGCTCTGGTAACCACAGTTCTAGTACCCTTGTATAGTTCCAGTACCACACAGTCTGTACATACAGTTTCTAGTACCCATGTATAGTTCAGTACCACACTATCACAGTTCTAGTACCCATGTAATTTCCAGTACCCAACAGCTTAACCACAGTTCTAGTACCCATGTATAGTTCCAGTACCCACACAGCTCTGGTAACCACAGTTCTAGTACCCTTGTATAGTTCCAGTACTCACACAGTTCTAGTACCCATGTATAGTTCCAGTACCCACAGTTCTAGTACCCATGTATAGTTCCAGTACCCACACAGTTCTAGTACCCATGTATATTTCCAGTACCCACACAGTTCTAGTACCCTTGTATAGATCTAGTAGCCACACAGTTCTAGTACACATGTATAGTTCTAGTACTCAACAGTTCTAGTACCCATGTTAGTTCCAGTACCCACACAGTTCTAGTACCCATGTATAGTTCCAGTACTCACACAGTTCTAGTACCCATGTATAGTTCTAGTACTCACACAGTTCTAGTACCCATGTATAGTTCCAGTACTCACACAGTTCTAGTACCCATGTATAGTTCCAGTACCTCACACAGTTCTAGTACCCATGTATAGTTCCAGTACCACACAGTTCTAGTACCCATGTATAGTTCCAGTACCCACAAAGTTCTAGTAAACCCATGTATAGTTCCAGTACCCACACAGTTCTAGTACCCATGTATAGTTCAGTACCCACACAGTTCTAGTACCATGTATAGTTCCAGTACCCACCACAGTTCTAGTACCCTGTATAGATCTAGTACCCACACAGTTCTAGTACCCATGTATAGTTCCAGTACTCACACAGTTCTAGTACCCATGTATAGTTCCAGTACCCACACAGTTCTAGTACCCATGTATAGTTCCAGTACCCACACAGTTCTAGTACCCATGTATAGTTCCAGTACCCACACAGTTCTAGTACCCATGTATAGTTCCAGTACCCACACAGTTCTAGTACCCATGTATAGTTCCAGTACCCACACAGTCCTAGTACCCTTGTATAGTTCCAGTACCCACACAGTTCTAGTACCCATGTATAGTTCCAGTACCCACACAGTTCTAGTACCCATGTATAGTTCCAGTACCCACACAGTTCTAGTACCCATGTATAGTTCCAGTACCCACACAGTTCTAGTACCCTTGTATAGTTCCAGTACCCACACAGTTCTAGTACCCATGTATAGTTCCAGTACCCACACAGTTCTAGTACCCATGTATAGTTCCAGTACCCACACAGTTCTAGTACCCATGTATAGTTCCAGTACCCACACAGTTCTAGTACCCATGTATAGTTCCAGTACCCACACAGTTCTAGTACCCATGTATAGTTCCAGTACCCACACAGTTCTAGTACCCATGTATAGTTCCAGTACCCACACAGTTCTAGTACCCATGTATAGTTCCAGTACCCACACAGTTCTAGTACCCATGTATAGTTCCAGTACCCACACAGTTCTAGTACCCATGTATAGTTCCAGTACCCACACAGTTCTAGTACCCATGTATGATTCTTGTAGCCACACAGTTCTAGTACCCATGTATAGTTCCAGTACCCACACAGTTCTAGTACCCATGTATAGTTCCAGTACCCACACAGTTCTAGTACCCATGTATAGTTCCAGTACCCACACAGTTCTAGTACCCATGTATAGTTCCAGTACCCACACAGTTCTAGTACCCATGTATAGTTCCAGTACCCACACAGTTCTAGTACCCATGTATAGTTCCAGTACCCATACAGTTCTAGTACCCATGTATGGTTCTTGTAGCCACACAAAACATCTCAAATACTAGGCAGGCTTCAAGTTAATAATGTGGTTGTATCTGTTGCGGAGAAGTTTGCTAAGAGCGTGTACTAGGAAGGAAGACGACTGCTTCCTGCACACTGCTACAACAACTTACTACAATGAAAGATACAGCAGAACTTGTGGAATAAACTGGTTGAAGAGCGAGGAGAGGCAAGAATACAACTGTGTCAACATTTATGGTTGAAGATTCTTCAGTATAATATCAGAGGATGACACAAATATTGCCTGAACCAAGATAAAAGTTTTCAAGATGGTGTTAGACAGCTTACGTTATCAAGTGTAGGATCAGCCGGCTGTGATGGTTAGCTATGTAGGCCTGCAGGCCGCTAGTACAAACAACCTGGTTGACCAGGCGGTGAACAGGGAGGTCGGGTTGTGGGGATAAAGTCCTATACAGTATCTATTGTGACTTCAGTAATTTTGATATACAGTAGACATGTGATCTACGGCAGGAGTGACCCACCTTTAATATACCAATAATCGGCTTCCAGAGTCTTCCTGCTCCTGCAGCGAGACTTGTCTGTTGCTTGCCTCGACACCAGTGTGACCTCTGTGTGACCTACAGGAGTGTGCCTACAGCAGGAATGTGACCTACAACAACGGAGGAGGCGGCGGCGGCGGCGAGGAAGCAGTAGTGGAGGTGGTGTAGAGAGCCTCGGCGGCGGCGCAATAAGAGAGCGAGTGTTGTGTTGTGTCGGGGGGGGGGGGGGAGGACTTACCCGTGTGTCAGCAGTGGACGCAAGCGGGCACGCTCAGCACTAGCTAGCTAGCTAGCTGCTCTTGACGGCTAAGTGCTACTAACAGCGAAGTGGTGTTGGTGTCAAGGAGACCGGCGAAGGCTTGACGGTGATGGTGAGTTGTAGGACTAAGAGGTGAGAGCGGCAGGTCGGTGCGAGCCACGGCACGGGTGTCGTCGTCGGCGGCACTGAGAGCCACACTCGCCAGGGCCACCAGCAGCAGCCGTAGCGCGACCCACGCCTCTCACCGCGCACGCCCACCCCATACACCCCACCGCCCGACGTACGCCCACGATCGATTCCTCAGCACAGAGAGGCCGCTCCACAGCCCCAGTTACCGCCCGCTGCAGTCCCGATACCAGTCAGTGCACCCGACACAGCCGCAACCACAGCTGCTTTACCCAGCCTCTACCCCAGCCGGATACACAGCCCCATCACAGCCGGACCTACAATCCCTACCACAGCCGGATCTACAGCCCCTACCACAGCCAGACCTACAGCCCCTACCCCAGCCGGATACACAGCACCCCACAACATATTCCCAGCGTTTACTACAATCAGAACTAATACTACAGGGTCAACTACAGCTCTAATCGCAGCCTTTACAACAGCTTCTACTCACTACCGAAACCACAGCCGGAACTACACCCGGAACCACAGCCGGAACTACACCTGGAACTACAGCCGGAACTACAGCTGGAACCCACCGGAAAATCAGCTGGAACTAGAACCCCCCCCTCATCCAGCCGCCATTACGGCTGAATACAAGTACTGCCAAATCCGCACTACAGCTTTTACTACAGCCGGAACTACATCACTCACTCAAGCCGCCACCACTACCGGACAAGCAGCTCAATCTGTCACTGCCACAACCAGAATCACAATTTCCATCAATCACTGCCACAGTCGGGACCTCAACACAGATACACCAGACACTGCCATGTAAGTCACTGCCGAAAAGTCACCGAACTCACCTTTCACTGCCAAAACCCGCACCAGTCACTGCCACTCTAGTGAGATAATCGACAATCTCACCACTGCCAGAGTCACAAAATGCGTATACGAAGCAGTGAGCGCAGCCGCAGCCCAAGTGTCCAGCAGGGTGCTAGTTCTCAGAGTCAACGTCAGAGACGGCGCCAGAGAGCTCATCGTCCTAGCCAGAGCGCCTCCTCCGCCCACTCCACCAGACGGAGTCGGAGCTTCTATCTCCAACATCAAAGGAGTCAGAGTGCACACAGTAGCTACCAGGAGAGCCCCAGCCCAAGCAGCTCGCAGGAACGCGCACAAAGGCGCAGCAGAAGCACCCGTAAGAGTTATCGCAAGAGAAGGAGTCACAGCGCCTATGAAAGGCGGCGGAGCACAAGTTCCCGCTCCAGACGCACCAAAAAGCGCAGCGAGAGCCAGCAGCAGACATCCGGCCGCCGACAGAGCCAGAGCCCCCGCCGCAGACGTCGCCACTGGTACAGTCAGAGCCCCCAGAGTCCTCGCCAACGACGGAGCAGAAGTCAACACAGAAGACAACGTCGCAAGAAGAGCAAAAGTCCAGAACAGAAGCGCCACCACTGGTACAGCCAGAGTCCCCCTCGCCTAAGACGAAGCCGAAGTTTCCATCATACATTTAGGCACAGGAAGAGTCAAAGTCCCCATTGGAAGCATCGACACTGGTATAGTGAAAGCCCCAAAAGTTCTCGCCAGAGGCGAAGTCAGAGTCAGTTCTACAGACGATATTATAGTCCCCTTCGCAAACAACGTCAGAAACGAAGTCAAAGCCCCAAGAAGAAACGTCGTCACTGGTTCAGCCAAAGTCCCCCTCTGGATCGTCGCAAAAAGCGAAGCAAGAGCCCCCGCCGTCACAAAAGTCAAAGCCCCCATCGGAAGATAAGTCACAAACGTAGCACAAGTCCCCATCGAAAGACAAGTCAAAAGAGTAATATAAGTCCGCATCGAAGATACCGTCATAGAAGCCATAGCCCCTACAGAAGCCCCCGACAAAGGGAAAGCAAGAGCCCTGGTCAGAAACACCACTGGTTTAGCAGCCAGAGTCCAGAAAGAAGACCTCGTCAACGTAGGAAGAGGAGGAGCCATCAGAGCTACCGCCAGCGACGGAGTCAGAGCACCCATCAGAGTTACCGTCAGAGGCGGAGCCAGAGTCCCCACCCCAAATATCGTCATAGGCGAAGCAGAAGCACAGAGATGAGTCGAAGCCTCAGTGACTATCAAAGTCGAAGTCAAAGCGTCTATGAGACCAAGAGTCAAGTCATAACAAAAACTCAAAGCAAGAAATAAACTTAGCCGCCTATTAGGTCCTACTCTGATTGAAGAGCCAGATGTAACACTTGACTGTTTATATTTAACACTCATCTTACAAACTCATGAAAACAAACATCACATTTCATAAACTTAAGGAATTAGACAAATAAATTATAGGGCCAATGTCAGTCATCCTCCCCCTCCCTAATATATATATATATATATATATATATATATAATATATATATATATATATATATATATATATATATATATATATATATATATATATATATATATATAAAACAATCATAAAACCTATGAATTATTTCCGAAAGCGGAGATAGAGTCAAACCATATACATGAGTATTTATGAAGAAATTAGAAAGGCTTTGCAGATTTGCTAATAAAGATGGTCTCCTTTAATCTCATGCTTGACAACTACCAGAGAAGCTTCCAAGGCCCAGCAAAGAGGACAACAACAACAGCGGACGTACAGGGAAAACATCAGATGTATTATAGAAGCATAACATCTAATACAACAAGCAAAGAAACAGGATAAACATCGGGGCAAAAATAATCTGAATAACTGTGTAGAGAACACAGAGAAACCAAATTAACGTCGGGGACGATGCAACAGGATACACACCACCATCTTTAGAAGAAAACGTTAAGTAGTAACCAGCCCCAAGGACGCTGCTAAGAAGCAACTGGTTCTTAACCTCACAGACGTAGTTAAGAAGCAACTGGTTCTTAACCTCACAGACGTAGTTAAGAAGCAACTAGTTCTTAACCTCACAGACGTAGTTAAGAAGCAACTGGTTCTTAACCTCACAGACGTAGTTAAGAAGCAACTGGTTCTTAACCTCACAGACGTAGTTAAGAAGCAACTAGTTCTTAACCTCACAGACGTAGTTAAGAAGCAACTAGTTCTTAACCTCACAGACGTAGTTAAGAAGCAACTGGTTCTTAACCTCACAGACGTAGTTAAGAAGCAACTAGTTCTTAACCTCACAGACGTAGTTAAGAAGCAACTAGTTCTTAACCTCACAGACGTAGTTAAGAAGCAACTAGTTCTTAACCTCACAGACGTAGTTAAGAAGCAACTAGTTCTTAACCTCACAGACGTAGTTAAGAAGCAACTAGTTCTTAACCTCACAGACGTAGTTAAGAAGCAACTAGTTCTTAACCTCACAGACGTAGTTAAGAAGCAACTGGTTCTTAACCTCACAGACGTAGTTAAGAAGCAACTGGTTCTTAACCTCACAGACGTAGTTAAGAAGCAACTAGTTCTTAACCTCACAGACGTAGTTAAGAAGCAACTAGTTCTTAACCTCACAGACGTAGTTAAGAAGCAACTGGTTCTTAACCTCACAGACGTAGTTAAGAAGCAACTAGTTCTTAACCTCACAGACGTAGTTAAGAAGCAACTAGTTCTTAACCTCACAGACGTAGTTAAGAAGCAACTAGTTCTTAACCTCACAGACGTAGTTAAGAAGCAACTAGTTCTTAACCTCACAGACGTAGTTAAGAAGCAACTGGTTCTTAACCTCACAGACGTAGTTAAGAAGCAACTAGTTCTTAACCTCACAGACGTAGTTAAGCAACTAGTTCTTAACCTCACAGACGTAGTTAAGAAGCAACTAGTTCTTAACCTCACAGACGTAGTTAAGAAGCAACTAGTTCTTAACCTCACAGACGTAGTTAAGAAGAAACTAGTTCTTAACCTCACAGACGTAGTTAAGAAGCAACTGGTTCTTAACCTCACAGACGTAGTTAAGAAGCAACTAGTTCTTAACCTCACAGACGTAGTTAAGAAGCAACTAGTTCTTAACCTCACAGACGTAGTTAAGAAGCAACTAGTTCTTAACCTCACAGACGTAGTTAAGAAGCAACTAGTTCTTAACCTCACAGACGTAGTTAAGAAGCAACTAGTTCTTAACCTCACAGACGTAGTTAAGAAGCAACTAGTTCTTAACCTCACAGACGTAGTTAAGAAGCAACTAATTCTTAACCTCACAGACGTAGTTAAGAAGCAACTAGTTCTTAACCTCACAGACGTAGTTAAGAAGCAACTAGTTCTTAACCTCACAGACGTAGTTAAGAAGCAACTAGTTCTTAACCTCACAGACGTAGTTAAGAAGCAACTAGTTCTTAACCTCACAGACGTAGTTAAGAAGCAACTAGTTCTTAACCTCACAGACGTAGTTAAGAAGCAACTAGTTCTTAACCTCACAGACGTAGTTAAGAAGCAACTAGTTCTTAACCTCACAGACGTAGTTAAGAAGCAACTAGTTTCTAACCTCACAGACGTAGTTAAGAAGCAACTAGTTCTTAACCTCACAGACGTAGTTAAGAAGCAACTAGTTCTTAACCTCACAGACGTAGTTAAGAAGCAACTAGTTCTTAACCTCACAGACGTAGTTAAGAAGCAACTAGTTTCTAACCTCACAGACGTAGTTAAGAAGCAACTAGTTCTTAACCTCACAGACGTAGTTAAGAAGCAACTGGTTTCTAACCTCACAGACGTAGTTAAGAAGCAACTAGTTCTTAACCTCACAGACGTAGTTAAGAAGCAACTAGTTTCTAACCTCACAGACGTAGTTAAGAAGCAACTGGTTCTTAACCTCACAGACGTAGCTAAGAAGCAACTGGTTCTTAACCTCACAGACGTAGTTAAGAAGCAACTAGTTTCTAACCTCACAGACGTAGCTAAGAAGCAACTAGTTTCTAACCTCACAGACGTAGTTAAGAAGCAACAAATTCTTAACCTCACAGACGTAGTTAAGAAGCAACAAATTCTTAACCTCACAGACGTAGTTAAGAAGCAACAAATTCTTAACCTCACAGACGTAGTTAAGAAGCAACAAATTCTTAACCTCACAGACGTAGTTAAGAAGCAACTGGTTCTTAACCTCACAGACGCAGCTAAGAAGCAACTGGTTCTTTACCTCACAGACGTAGTTAAGAAGCAACTGGTTCTTTACCTCACAGACGTAGTTAAGAAGCAACTGGTTCTTTACCTCACAGACGTAGTTAAGAAGCAACTGGTTCTTTACCTCACAGACGTAGTTAAGAAGCAACCGGTTCTTTACCTCACAGACGTAGTTAAGAAGCAACTGGTTCTTTACCTCACAGACGTAGCTAAGAAGCAACTGGTTCTTAACCTCACAGACGTAGTTAAGAAGCAACTGGTTCTTTACCTCACAGACGTAGTTAAGAAGCAACTGGTTCTTAACCTCACAGACGTAGCTAAGAAGCAACTGGTTCTTAACCTCACAGACGTAGTTAAGAAGCAACTGGTTCTTAACCTCACAGACGTAGTTAAGAAGCAACTGGTTCTTTACCTCACAGACGTAGCTAAGAAGCAACTGGTTCTTAACCTCACAGACGTAGTTAAGAAGCAACTGGTTCTTTACCTCACAGACGTAGTTAAGAAGCAACTGGTTCTTAACCTCACAGACGTAGCTAAGAAGCAACTGGTTCTTAACCTCACAGACGTAGTTAAGAAACAACTGGTTCTTAACCTCACAGACGTAGCTAAGAAGCAACTGGTTCTTAACCTCACAGACGTAGTTAAGAAGCAACTGGTTCTTAACCTCACAGACGTAGTTAAGAAGCAACTGGTTCTTAACCTCACAGACGTAGTTAAGCAACTGGTTCTTAACCTCACAGACGTAGCAGAAAATGCGTCTATTTCCCAGAGATCATAAGAAGTTCCAAAATTCATCACTAAGAAGTCAGCAACTCATCACTACCACAGAAAGCTTAAGCAGTTATAACAGCGGTTAACATTAATATCATTTTCTAATTGGAAGTCTTGGATGAGAAGTGAGGGTGATGAGATGAGCAGTGAGGGTGATGAGATGAGCAGTGAGGGTGATGAGATGAGCAGTGAGGGATATGAGATGAGCAGTGAGGGTGATGAGATGGGAAGTGCGGGTGATGAGATGGGAAGTGAGGGTGATGAGATGGGAAGTGAGGGTGATGAGATGGGAAGTGAGGGTGATGAGATGGGAAGTGAGGGTGGTGAGATGGGAAGTGAGGGTGATGAGATGGGAAGTGAGGGTGATGAGATGGGAAGTGAGGGTGGTGAGATGGGAATTGAGGGTGGTGAGATGGGAAATGAGGGTGGTGAGATGGGAAGTGAGGGTGGTGAGATGGGAAGTGAGGGTGGTGAGATGGGAAGTGAGGGTGGTGAGATGGGAATTGAGGGTGGTGAGATTGGAAGTGAGGGTGGTGAGATGGGAAGTGAGGGTGGTGAGATGGGAAGTGAGGGTGGTGAGATGGGAATTGAGGGTGGTGAGATGGGAAGTGAGGGTGATGAGATGGGAAGTGAGGGTGGTGAGATGGGAAGTGAGGGTGATGAGATGGGAAGTGAGGGTGGTGAGATGGGAAGTGAGGGTGGTGAGATGGGAAGTGAGGGTGGTGAGATGGGAAGTGAGGGTGGTGAGATGGGAAGTGAGGGTGGGGAGATGGGAAGTGAGGGTGGTGAGAAGGGAAGTGAGGGTGGTGAGATGGGAAGGGTAGGTAGGGAGAGGAAGGGAGGGAGGGTAGGAGGGACGGAGGGAAGGAAAGAAGGAACGTTTAGAGAAAGGTCAAGTTGTCCCTAGAGAGATCATTAAGATCATTCAGACCATAATGAGTGTATTAAGACCAGCGGCAGACATGACAACACTGGCGCCACCAACAATGGCGCCGATGACAATGGCGGCAGTAACAGTGGCGCAGGCGGCAGTAACGCCGGCGGTGGCGGTAGTAAAGGCGGCGAGAACGTCTGCCATAGTGTCTGCAGGTGTTTTTACGGTGGCGCTGGTGGTTATGGTTGTAGTGGTTATGGTTGTGGCTGTGGCGGTAATGATTGTAGTGGTTACTGTGGTTGTGGCGGTGGTTATGGTTGTGGTGGTTATGGTTGTGACAGTGCTGGCGTTGTTGTGTGTAGTGGTGATGGTTGTAGTTGTTGTAGTGGTGATGGTTGTGGTTGTAGTAGTGATGGTTGTGATTGTAGTGGTGATGGTTGTGGTTGTTGTAGTGGT